TGGGTGCAGTTGTAGGGTAGCTACGGCAAGACCAATCGCCTTACGTCTGTGTGTGTTGTGCGTATTACGTACCAAAGGCTGTACAAACTCTTGTATCACGGCGGTTATGAAAGTCAAAGGGACTGTGTGGCTGCCCCATGGAACGTATTGCTCTGAAAGAACCCCTTGCACTGGCACAGATCAACGGTAATCGTTCACACAAACGCATCGCCACGCACTGTAACCCTCGCACATACGCTTGCCCTCTCGCGCATTCCGTTTACGTTTTATCAGAGTCTGTTGCATTTACCTGTCCTCCTCATTCTCGCGGTGCATGGCGTATAGTGTGGCCTGTCACGGGTCTATGCGACTTCAAGCCACCTCCGATCGGTTGCCATATTTACTACCCTGGTTTATGTAACTTTACGGATTGATCACATCACAAGTTTAATACTATGGTTTATGTTCTGTACGAATTTACCACATCACATAATTAATGCCATGATTTATGTACTTTACGGATTGATTACGTCACATAATTAATACCGTGGTTTAAGTACTGTGAGGATAGAAATGATCACATCACATAATTAACACCGTGGTTCATTGTCCTGTATGGTCTTGTCATATCACAGCCCCAGCGAAGCATGTGCTCTAATTATAGAACAGCTCCAAATTGGCAGTGAGCAGGTGCAGCGCATCACTCTGTCGGTATGTGTCGCCCGTCTCATTTGTATTCGGCTATTCCCACATGGCAGGTGACTTGTGTGTCTGCACATTTGTATTCATATATCGTTTGTGTTTATATATCATTTGTATTGATATATCGTTTCTTTTTATATATCATTTGTATTTATATATCATTTGTACTCGTATATCATTTGTATTTAAATATCATTTGTATTTATATATCACTTGTATTTATATATCATTTGTATTTATATATCATTTGTATTTATATATCACTTGTATTTATATGTCATTTGTATTTTATAATCATTTGTATATATATATCATTTGTTTTTATATATCATTTGTATTTATATATCATTTGTATTTATATATCATTTGTATTCATATATCTTTTGTATATATATATATTATTTGTAATTATATATCATTTGTATTTACACGTCGTTTGTATCCATGTATCATTTGTATTCAGATATATGCATTCTAGTGTAGTCAACTTATACGTCATGTCAATTGTAATGCCCTAGTTGGAGGGAGAGGTGCAATGTGTTTGGAGGGTTCATACCTCGCTGTCAAATCTTCTATAAATCACATCGTTCTCATATCGATGTGTGTTTGTTTAATAAATCCGTTAGTTACCACAAGCATACGAGCCTGGACAGTGATGGTTATGACAGCTGTATGGTTATTAAGTGGTTGGTGTGCCTATTTACGCCGAAATCCTCAAAGCGTCCCAATTCCTCGTCTCAAATCTGCCACCCAAACCCGATTTTAGCTGTTGCAGGCGTGCGTAGCCAACTGCAACCGCCGCTTCCACGACAACATTGGGAAATTCAAGTTCCTTAATGAATTGATCAAATTGGTATCTCCAAAGGTATGTGAGTCTGTGAGATGTGTATTGGAGAACCGAGCAAGTGTTTGGGTGTCTGTGACACATGTCCATATATAGGCACGCCCTCGTCCACCGTACCTCACTCTCGGCGCCCTCATATACGCCGTGCCCATCGGCCAGTAGCACGAGACGATCACCCATCTTCATTATCTGCGATGCCGGTTTGTGTGTGCTTGGCACACATAGAATTTTAGGTATTTGTTATAGGAGTTGTACTGTTGTGGTGTCTTGGGTCTGTGTCTCTGACTTCAGAGGTGTGAGGTCGGGAGATACATAGTACCATCAGTACCATCCACCCCCGTATCACCATTTTCGTCACCCGCATCCACAAATAGAGACTGTCATGAGCACCGTTGTGTTGTATTGCCCAGACACTTTAGCATGCACTGTGCGAAACAAACCCACAGGCGAGTATATTAGTGTTATATTAGATATTAGAGGGCCAAGTTTCGGCGTATACGAGGGTGAATCGTGCATAGACACATATCTCTCGCTCTGCAAGTGGGTTACAGAGGACACTGTTACTGCCAGAAAGTTAAGTTGGCATTCGGCGGGTGCGTTGGTGGTTCTGCATCTGTTGTTGCGTCTGTTCGGTCGTTTCGGATGGTTATGCATACTCCATAGGTGCACATTGATGGTATTGAGATCTCTGTTCTTACGAGGATGAGATATACCTTAGTACCTTTCGTATCTAAGTTTCAAATTTTCTTTTACAGCAGGTACGTTAAAGGGATTCTACCTACACTCAACTCGTTTATCGTCTTCACACTCAACTCATTTATCGTCTTCACACTCAACTCATTTATCGTCTTCACACTCAACTCATTTGTCGACTTCACACTCAACTCATTCCTCGTCTTCAACAAACACCGTACCCTACCCAAACAGTATTATAGTGATGTGTCGCCTGAGGTAAAGAAGCGTATCCTGACTATGATCCAGGAATGGAAGAACACACTCAACCAACCCAAAATCAGCGAAGCGTACGATATGCTCAGGCAACAGGTGTGTGCTACTGCGATTGGCATCAGCCTGTGTGCATTCGTGCGTGTGTCTGTATCCGAGCCCTCGTGTGGGTGCGATGGGTTGTGTATATCGCGTATGAGTGCGTGTGTGTGTATGTGGCTGCTCAAGTATGAATACGCACACATCGCTATGACTAGCAAGGTCTGTACGACTATGAAGTATAACACGTGCCTATGCTGATTCGTCTATTCTGTGCCTCATATGCGTATGCACAATCCCTATTATGCGTTTTAACGCATAAGTTTTTATGTGATGTGTCGTTAGCATTGCTAGCTGGGCAGTCACGTTGCGACGGTACATTAGCAAACGTCGTTGAGAAGTTGATTGCTTGCATATGAACGCTTTCTGTTTTATTCCTAACGTTCATCCGTGATCATGGCTTGCGCATGTACGTTTTCTTTGTTCTTATTGTCTATCTGCGATCTGGCTTGCATATGTACGATTCTTTGTTCTTATTGTCTATCTGTGATCTTGGCTTGCATATGTACGTTTCTTTGTTTTTCTTGTTTATCTGTGATCTTGGCTTGCATATGTACGTTTCTTTGTTCTTATTGTCTATCCGTGATCTAGGCGTGTATGTACCCATCGCATCCAGCGTGGTTGAATGGTCTGTTTCAATTCAGTGCGATGTGCGTTTTGGTATAGCATGTTTCAGAAAAGGGGGGTTCATCCCTAAAACCCTAATCCCTAAAACAGGGTGTCATGAGAGTGCATGTTCAGTCGGTTTTTTCAAGGCACCTCCATGTGCCACCAGAGATACGTTTATGCAATCAGACTAGCAGATACGTTTATGCAATCAGACAAGCAGATACGTTTATGCAATCAAACTAGCAGATACGTTTATGCAATCAGACTAGCAGATACGTTTATGCAATCAGACTAGCAGATACGTTTATGCAATCAGACTAGCAGATACG